CGATCAGGCAGGGGCTTCCGATACCGCAAGGGAATAAGCATCTGTGAGCCAGGTGGGATGTCAACAGATGCCACGGACAGCGCCTGCACTTGTGCGGCTGAAGCAGGTCGCCCCCAGGGCGACGGCAGAAACGAGATTTGACGGCCACCCGGCAGTTCAATACAATTCTCATTAATTTTGATCAAAATAGGCATCTTAGCCAGGAAATCAGTGCCCAATAAACAAGGAACTGCCAAGGATCTTGAAATCAACACAATGCCCGAGGCCGACACATCCCCGATAGATATTTTAGCGTCCACCTGGCCCACGATGCCCATGCTACCCCCGTTCGCAGCGACGCACGACCCGTAAACCGGACGCACGGCCCCGGGTGGGATGCCCAACAGATGAAAAATGACATCCGAAATAATAGTTGCGGACGCCCCGGAATCGACCAAAATGCGCACGTCCACCCCTTGTATAGACCCCGGTACAGTGGACGAACCCGTAGCGGCCGCGACGACCCTCCGTGCCAATTTGCGCCACTGCGTCACCGAGCGACAAGGCCCCGTCGATGGCCTCTCTTTAACAACAACATTTGGATCGCACAACGAAGGTGATGGGTGAGGTGCAAAGCCTTGCCGGGTGTCTGGTGCATGCCAACTTGCCTGTTTCGGAGGTTCCTTAGTCGGCTTGTCCGTTGATGAGGCCTCCTGCTGCGGCGGACCCGGGATGCGGGCCCAGCAGTCCTTTGCGTAGTGGCCCCTCTGCCCGCAGCGGAAGCAGTCGACGTCGTTGCGCCGAAGCGCAGGCCTTGCATCCTGCCGGCCCCGTACCGGTGGTGCAGCGCGCGGGCCCGGCCCACCGCGTCCCGACCATGGACCGGAGGCGGCCGTCAGCTCCTGAGGGCCCCCCCCATCCGGCACGTAGACCGCCTTTGTAGGGTCCCAACCCAGAGCGCCACCCTCTGCGACGGGCCCCCCGTCCACGCCGCGACTTGTTTCCACCGTCGGAGGTTGAATTGTGCATCCAGACATTTTGCCGCCGCCCGGGAAGTGAGCTTCTCATGCCCACACACAGGCATGGGAATCCCAAGATCCCGAGACAGCTCGAGCATCTTACCCAAGATGAGAGGTTCGAGCAGGTCCGGTGTCGTCTCTGGATATGCGGCCATAGCCAACTCCAGCACCGCACCCCTATATGCAACGGGCGATTCCTCGGGCGCTCGTTGTCGTTGAGCAAATCGCCGATGCGCATTGTCAGGTGGCTCGTAGGCGTCGGCCATTTCTTCAAAAACTCCACATAATGTCTTCTTCTTTTCGGCCGTTATGGAACGAAAAAATCTAACTGATTAGCCGTCCAGAAGAGTCGGCAACACTTCTAAGGCCTCAGCATCGGTCCACCTCGCAGAACGGACCGCCGCCAAGAATCTGCAGGCGAAAGCGCTCCAATCGCCCCCGATGGCGAATTCCTTGACTGTGGTAAGATGGCGACTCCGACTTCTCTTTACTCCGTCCTCCACCGATGGCTCCTCCGGTGGTAAGTTCAAAATGGCGTCGAACCGCGGCGTGGTCAAGATGGCGGTTTCCCGCCGCGGAACGCGCAAGATGGCGGCCTCGTGCCGCGTGGCTGATGGCGTCGGAAGCGAAGACAATGTGGCGGCCCGTGGAGCACTCTTTGCTCTCTCCGTCGCCGTCCTTGGCGTGACGAGATGACTCAACTGCGCCAGGACGTCCTTGAGAGTCTCCAGTTGCTCCGCCATCTGCTGCCATCGTGGATCAGCGTCCGATGTTGTTGGCGGGCCCGACACCGCGGCGACATCTTCAACTCCAGTCCCCGTGCTCGTTTCAGCAGGGCTCTCCTCCACCACCCCAGCAGAATCCATGGTTGGAGGGAGGTCGTCGTCGTCGGACGAAGAAGCCGATGCTGGCGCCGGAATAATTTTCTTTCTTACTTGCTTCGACATGCCGTTGCACTTCCGACACCAATGTAATAAAAGACTCGACCACGATATCTGGCGTGGTGTCCTTTATTCGGTTCGTTTGCTGTCTCCCACACGGCTGTCCTCCTTTGAAACTTTCCACACGGTGCCGACGCTGTTGTTACACCCGTCACCACTAACAGCCCCGCTGTTGGTCTCTGTCGCCCCCGTAGCCTCTTAGCAGCCTCGCTGCTGTTACTCTCACGCAGCCTCCCTGGCTGTACTCGCTGCAGCTCCTCCTCGTGTCGCTCCCGTAGCCTCGGACAGCCTCGCGGCTGTTTCCCTGTCGCTCCCGTAGCTCCTAGCAGCCTTGCTGCTGTCTCCCATACACAGCCTCCCTGGCTGTACTCGCTGCAGCTCCTCCACCGCTCTCCTTCTCCAGCAGCCCCACTGCTGTCTCCTCCCGCAGCCCCGCTGGCTGCTCCCGTGGCTGGTCACCGCTGGCCTACGGTGCCACCCTTCTCTGGTTTCACCCTGCGTGGCCTCACCCTTGCTCAGTCTCCCACTCTCTCTCGTCTCCTTCCGGTTTCTCCCCTTAAGGACCCGAACCTTTCTCCCACGTCACATAACTCCACCTCTCCGTGACGTCACATCCGGAAGGTCGCTTACGCCCGCATTACACATGTATTCACATACATTGGTGGCTCTTGAAACATTAAGTTTTGTACTCAATTCGAAAAAAAAATGTATCTTGTTATATTTGTTACCAACCCCTGGCCTAGACCAATCAAAACTTTGCAGTGTACTGAAATAAAGCTCACTACAATACCAGTACCAGATCTCGGTACAGGATTGATCCTTGCCACTCAACCACAGATGCCAACTCCCGGAGATGGCTGGCAACTCAACGAGCCCACGCTGCCCATAGAGTACCTTTAAGTCCTTTTCGTAACTTTTCCATTCCTTGCAAACAAAGTAACCTGAGTGGCACCCCAATCCAAGCACGCATCGCTGCTGTGAAGCTATTCGAAGTGCAATTGGCACCTTGAGATTCGAGTACAATTTGAAGGGTTGACGGTTCTCACAATCGGCGCGCTGGTGTCGCAAGCAAGACGACGAGTGGCCACGACGCTGCTAGCTTTCGTCTCGAGACTTCTCTCGAACCTCCAGGACAAGGTCGAGATGAAGCCGGGGGCACATCGTACCGCAAGAACCAACGTTCACTCGAGCAGAGTCTGCAGGGCGACACCTGCCGACTGTCACCACGAGCGTCGCTCGGTGAAGGCGTCACCCCGCTACTCTGAACAACAGTGCAGTCATGGCAACTACGATATCGCACCCTGACCTGATTCCAACTCACCAGGCCTCACTATCCATAGATTTGAGTAAAGTCGAGAGGACGTGACTATTTTGGTACGTGAAAAGGAATGACATCTTGCCTGGTAGAATAGTAAGTTTTGCCCTGACAGACGTATTGTACTATTAACAATAATGTGACTGACAAGACGTATTACTGACAATGCCGTTACACGATTACAACGTTACAATTCTATTACTGTTCTTACACTAATTTTACAATAGTATTGCATATATTATAACATTATTATATTATATAATCATATATTATTTTTTACTCGACACTTCGTTCTATCTCCAGTCCAATCAGTTACCTGCACAGGAAGTACCTCATCCAGTGTTGTTTCTTTTTAGATTTCTGATGCATTTTCTCCATCAAGAAGCAACATCATGGGATTTTACACACGGCGCTCGGTTGAAAGGATATCACAGGAGGTGACATCACGGCGCTCCGTTGTCAACTGACGACACCTTTTTAGATGGCTATTACAGCGAGTCCCGGGACCGACTCGGTGGCATGTTGGGTATGGAACAATTTGTGCTACTCTGCCTGCTCTATCAAAGTGTGGACCGGGCTACGATGATGATGATGAGCAGAATATCCGCATCCACAAGTCACACTCCTCGTGCTCTGCACACTCAACCCAATCACACGTGCCTCTATAGAATGTTAAACGGGTCCCAATGCGTTGCACACTGCACTCTGGGGTGTTGTGCTTTCTGCATGTTGCTCAGATTGCATTTACAGCATGTCAAATTAATACACCAGAATTAGTTATTCGCTTGCTAAGAATTTAAAATCCCAAGCTAGCTTTCAGTTAAACATGTGTATATGTGTTTTACAAGTAGCCATTATTAAAATGCTCTCTCCAAACGCCTACCCTGACTTTGCAAGGATCGCCTGCGTCCGAGCAGCCTGTAGCTATTAAACGTGGCAGAGTGTGGATGGCAAAGCTGAGTTGGAAGCAACGTTTAAGCACCTCTCCATCGTCAACTTAAACTGGCAAAGCACAATTTGGAAATTACAAAAATACACTCACGTTTAACAACATTTTCCCCCCTCCATGAAAAAGGAGCGGTTGAATGCGCCCTCATCTGGAAAGGCCGAGTAAAAAATTTACCCGGCGGTGAAATTTGGCAGCTTAACTTGAGCGCGAGAACGGCTCTCTTAGAGGAACTTCCTCCCCCCGTCAACCGCCGCTGTCCCCGCAGCAGCAGCAGCAATGACGAGGCGATTGACACAGCGATGGTCGCTGGTTTAACGGCTGGTGTAGTAACGAGAGGTTCCTTTCAAACCCTGTGCTGGCAAATGCAGGCACCCAACCGACCGAACCCATGGCGCGCGACCCATTGACGGGCTCGCGGACTCCGAGTGACTCTGGGTGGAATCACCGGACGAGTGGAACGCGACAATGGTGGCCTCAAGCCCACCGGAGCTTTGTCCACCAGACATACCGCGCACGCGGTAAGCTCACGCGGTAAACGCACGCGGTAAGCCCACGCGTTAAGCTCACGCGGTAAGATCTCGCGGCCAGAAGCGGTGGGTGCCCGGCATCCGGTGCATTTACCACATGTTGCCATTGCATTGCAATCATTACTCAGGCTAAATGCACGCGGATTGAACTGAAGCCACGAGATGCCACTGGAGAACAGCCAAACCTTACGAGGTCACTGCCTCCCCTCTGTCCACCCCCGCCCCCAATGCCCCACCCCCCTCCCACTACCCCCACCCCACCTGTCCCCCTTTACTTCAGCATTTGTGTTGTCCCGGTGTTGTTGGCCTCGATTGCCCTGGGCCATCCCCACCCCCTGGACATGCGCCGCATTTAGTCGATGCTGTCGCAAATCTGCTCCACCATCTTGTTGAAGTCCTCCGGCTGGTCCGCGTACACGTGGTGCCCAGCTCCGCGTATTTGCTGGGGCGAGACGGAGGCAGTCGGTGAACGCACGCGCAGGGGTGCAAGCAGGATTGGGGGGGGGGGAGCCAAAGTTAACGGTGGACTAAAGTCGTGTAAAAAACTACTTTTGTAGCCCCTGTGACAAGCTGGTTAAACAAAACCAACTTAAAATCACAGAAGCTAAGCAGGTTCGAGGACAGAGCGGGCAGCCATGAGTAACCACAGCGCATGTTGTAGGCTGCTGTCGTACCATACCCCCCACAACCGCACATCTACGCTCTCCATCGTAACCAACCACCATGCAACTAACTCCACCGCACGCACACGTGCTGTGGTTGTTACTCATGCATGCTGTTCGGTGGGACAGAGGCAGTCAGGGGGAGATTAAAAAAACTGGAAGGTGTCGCGAGGTCACCATCTCCTGGCAACAGAGCAAGTGGATTAATTTATATCTGTATGCGGATTCGTGTCACCCCGCACCCCCCTAACGTGTGTGTGTGCGCATTTTCTCCGGGTACTCAGATCTTCTTCCACATGTATAACAATAAATTAATTAATGGAGTTGGCCAACAATCCCAACATAGGACCACAGAGCTTGTGGTTTCCAATGTCTCCAAATCATTCATTCATTCTCTCTCACTCGGTCTCTCTGTGCATTGCTCCAAGTTTAACATTATCATTATTGAGTTTGGGGGTGATGGACAGAGAATGAAATGGGGTGGGGTGGGGGGAGCGGCGCTCACCACGAGGCGCGTGCGTGAGCCGGGCCGCGCCTCCACCACCTTGCCACCGGAGCTGCTGTCGATCCACGAGCGGGCGCCGTAGATGATGGCGATGGGGATGGCCGGGTCCAGGTCGCCGATGCGGTGCAGCATGGGCCGCTTGGCCCAGCCGTACGGGATCGTCATGGCCTTGAAGGCCGTCTCACCACTGCAGGTCGTACCATGCACACGCACACATGAACACATACAGATACAAGCACATACACAGAGACAAAGTTACATAAACAGACAAAGACGGTCATTGCATCTGCTGCCGTCTGGAATGCTCCTTCTGATATTATGCACGTTTAAATCTCGATTGAAAATTCCTTTCTTTAGAACTGCTTTTAGTGTTGAGTTTGTTGTCATTTCCCCATGCCTCCGATTAGCACGGTTGGCTACGTACGGTGCGAAAATTCAAAATACGTACATAAAGACAAATGCGTACAATAACAACAACCGCCATTTACCACTAAGTGGCAGTGACATCACCATGGCGCTTGTGCCAGGCTATGTGCATGTTAAGGCCACGTGAAGTGTTGAACGTCTGCTGGCAGGTCACGGGGAACACCCAAGTGCCATGGGTTGACTGAGATGACTGGCCGATGCACCACCTGTGCCCCCTACTGTGCCAACTTGCTGAGTTTTAGCCGCCCGGCGCTCTGCTCATTATTGAGGGTCGCTCCTCTGCCCTCCGTTCTTGCTGGAGGGCGACTGCCTCCAACTGTCCAGTAGTGTTTCTTAACGAGCCTTGTCCACGGAGGCTGATCTTGACACCGCTGGTACCAGTCATCGGCAAGTCCACTTAGATCCACATCCTCTTATACAACATCACTCCATCTCTTCTCTAGCCTGTGACGTACCTGTTTAGCCCCCTCTATTAAGCCAAACAAAAACTGCTTAGACATGCGGTGGCTGGGCATGCAGGCTACATGACCCAGCTAACACAGCCTTGCCTGCCGGAGAAGCTCACCGATGGGACTTAGCCCAGATCTTTCAAGGATTTGTGAGCTCCTCACACAATCCAGCTTGGTTAAACCCAAGGATGGATCGTAGGCAGGCCAGCCTAAATGTTTCTAACCGGCAAAGTTGTTCCATTAGGGGGGTCCACGTTTCTCAAACGTAGAGAAGGGAGGGTATCACCGTGACCGAGAAGACCTAAAGCTTCGTATGGAGCGACAAAGCAGGTAGTATCCACACAGCATTACGCAGCCGATGAAAAGATAATGCCGCTCGACTGATTCAGAGTAACACCTCTGCTGTCAAAACGGAGCCGGTCATAAGCACAATGCCCAAGTATGGGCAACTCTCCATTCTCTCCACAACTACCCCATGACCAATTGGTAATTGTGGGGGTGGAGTGTCTGATGGTACAAAATACCCAGGCAGGTGCTAGCAGCCTCCTACCATTGTTATTGAGCTGATCTTGCCCATGTCTTCCAATCACTCCAGACCAGGTACGAGCATCATGACCAACTCGGACGTTAAAGTCACCCAACAAGATGACTATCCCGAAGGGCCACTTTAGCCAGCACCTGTGACAAGAGGTCATAGAAGGCATCTGACTCATCGGCCTTGCCTGCATCCCTCCACGGATGTTCGTCTTCGGTGGGGGTATAAGTAACCACGACCACCACTCCTCGCCTCTGGTTGATGGGAAGGCGAGCCCAAAGTAGCCTGGGGCTTACAGCTTCCCACACTTCACCGCCACGCTCCCATGCCCTCTTCATTATTTTGTTCAGAAGAAGAGCCACTCCCAGTCTCCTGCCCCGAGTAGAGGACTGTCCACCCCTCATGATGGCAGGAGCCAGAGCCTGTCCACCAGACTTCCTGAATACCGCAAAGATGCAGGTGGTACCGGTCCAGCTCCCGATAGAGGAGTGGCAGCCTCTCCTCCCCAGTGAGCATTCGAATATTCCACGTGGCCACCCGCAGTGGCTTTTTGCTGTTTCTGGAGGAACCCTGAGGGTAGGGATTCAATCTCGTGGCTCCGCCAAATGGGGTTTGGCCAGGAGACGTCATGGACACCTGTCCCCCCAGGGCCTCCGGCACAAGCTTAGTTGGATATTTTTTCATGGTGTAGTGTTAATGAATTGAAGGTAGAGGGGTTACAAACTCCTCGCACTCGTATACACACATGTTCATACAAATACACACAAGTACACATACACAGATATCCACGTATGCAAACAGAGACACACGCACCAACGAACACATACGTAAGCACACACATGTTCATAAACACACATTGAAAAAGATAAACAACTGCCATTTGCCACTAAGTGGTGGTGACATCACCACGGCGCTTGTGCCAGGCTATGTGCACGTTAACGTCTTCATTACTAATGTTACACGTTAACATACACATAGACAGACACAGAGGCACATGCATACACACACACAACTAAGTGAAATGTTACTCTTGAGCAAAAAATGTATTTTGTAATGACGTTTTCAAATAAATTACAGCTTTTCGTGGCCTTTAACATCACCCCTACTACATAGTCGAGCGGTGGAATGCAGGCATGCAATGCCACTCATTCATTCGAGGTGAATGAGTGGCATTGGGTCAATTCCAAAAGACTCACTTTCACATCCCATGTTCATCACGCACCTAGAGCTAGCTTCTGGTCAGTCTGTTCAATAGACTAAAACTAAACTATTTTTATTTTACCAGGTGAGGCACACTGATCTATGTAGCTCTTTATCAGAAGTGACCTGACCACAAATAATAGCTCAACGAAGTGGCTTATCGTGTGTAAATAAATGCATGTTTCTAATGTGGAGAGAAAAACTGGAGGACCCGCAGAAAATTCCACGTGACCACAGGGAGAGACACGCAAACTCTACACAGGCGTCAGGATTGGAATCGAACTCAGGACCTCCTGTATACCAGGCAAGATCGCGAAACATTTAACTACCATGGCTGCAGCCGGTGCCCGGCGCTCCTGAGCGACATGCGAGTGGCCTCGGCAGGCCACTACCAGAGGCTTCTTATGTATGAATGTATGTTGAAATTCTTTCGCACCGTAAATAGCCAACCGTGCTAATCAGAGGTGCTTCACAAGTAACATATGGCCCACGGATACCAGTTGAAGAACACTCGTACATACCATAAACAAGCATGGAGACGCATTTGTGGGATTACAATGACAGGCAGAAAGAGGAACGACACGTCTTAAGAGAAAGCGTGCAGATTTATGACATCATCCAAAGTATTAGAAAACAATAAGTATTGCCTGGGCAGGATCTGTTGTGGGAAGAGATCAATGGAAGATGGTCAAGTGTGACAACGGAGAGGCGGTCGAGGAATGGAGAGCACCTGATAGTACGTCTACGAAGGAGATGGAGCCATGATGAATACAGTTTGTGTGCGGATGCCGGATGGATTGCTGCATCGCAGGACTGTGAGGGGCGGCGGCGGCTTGGGGAGGCCTTCATCCAGCAGTGGATTGGCTACGGCTGATTGATGATTATTTTGATCAGTTGGGTGCTTTACATTTCGACATGAGAAGTCACTTCGTAGAGATATTGTCGGGGTCGCTGGCCCCCGAGATCCCTCCCTCTGTACCGCTAACGGTCGGGTTAACCTCATTATTAACCTCATTACTCGCCCCCTCGCTACTAGGCGAACCGCTGTTGGGTTCTTCACCCATGGGGTGAGAGCCGTCGCTCGAGGATTCCCCTCCCCCGCGGGTCCGCGTAATAGGCATGGTTAATTACGTACGCGCACACCCACACACAGCTCTGCGCGGCACTCACTCAATACCGACCACTCACGTTAGGATCGCGCACCTGTATTATACACGTAGTGAACGTGCGCGCGCACACGCATACAGCTCCACACGCGATACCCACTCTTGCGCTGCTCCGCGCAGCGCTCGCCACCTGCTGGCCGCTTACGTTATGATCGCGCACCTGGGGTACGCCGATTACGCACGCCGCGAGCTTACGCACACACAGTACCACACGCGTTCCCACACGCTCACACTGCACGACAAGATCACGCGAGACCACGCTTCGCTATTAATGATTTATTACCTGGTACTAATGTTGAATCAGTGAGTCGACGAGGCTGGCCTATTCCCCTAAACCGGCACCTATTCCCTATTTATCGGCTATTATCTTACTTCACCTCCCCACTCCCTGTTTGGCGCCCGCGGAGGTTCGCTGCTCCCTGCGCTAACAACGTACCTCGATGCGTCTCACGGACGTCCGGGTCGCTGGCTGGAGTTGCTGCTGGTCCGCTGGCCTGGAGAGAAGAGAGCGATTTCCCCTCTGCGCCCCTCTATTTATCCTCCCTACCTCAAAGGGGATGCTGCGCTGAACAATGGGCTCGTGCACCTCGAGCCCGCGCACGGCGGTTCCGGGCGCTGTTGATATGCTAATCAGTGTGCGGCGTGCAAGGCGTAAATCCTAGTTAATCCCTTACCCTTCCTAACAATGGGGCCTGCGCGCTCAAGCGTAATTATCCCAACCCTCCAAGACTATGCGCAACAGCTCCTGCGGTCCCGCTATTCATGCTGTCCCGTCCCTCCTCTGCTTGCCCCGTCGACCCGTGGGGGTGTGTGTGGGGGGAAATGCGCCTCAACCGCGGTGGCCGAATGCCCCATGCCGCGACCACACCATATTAAGGCTGGTCGCAGCGCCGCGGTGCCACGTAGCACGGGGGAGGTCATCCAATTCCCTGATCGCCGGAAACCGTGAGAGTTAACCCCGATAAGGGTTTCTCGGATAAAAACCGGTCGGCCAGGTGACCTCCCCTCGGAGCTCTATGGGGGGGGGGGGGAAATGCGTGCGGGTGTGTTCGTGTGAGGTGAGGTGAGGGGGACGCGGGGTTGGCTCCGTTGCTTGGTGGTGGCGAGGTCGGGGATTTGGGCGCCTGCCGAACGGCTTCGTGGCGGCGGCATCACATAGCCCCCCGAGGTGCCAGTCCCCGTCCCGGGTTGACTGGAGCACCTCGCTTGGGCCGCGCCCACGAGGAAACGTTGCGGGGTCCGGGGGATCCGTCCGGATCTGGTGGCTGGCCTCGGGGCGGGTGGTTCCGTCCTCTGTAGCTCCTGCGGCGGTCTCCTCCTCCACTCCAGCGGCTCTCCCCGTCCTCCGGCACCTGTGGGCTGGGGCACAAACTCAGCAGCGGAAGGGTTTAGTGGCCGTCGTCCGCGCCAT